GGTCCAGAGGAGGGCCACAAAAATGATCCGAGGGCTGGAGCACCTCTCCTATGAGGACAGGCTGAGGGAGTTGGGCTTGTTCAGCCTGGAGAAGAGAAGGCTGCGGGGAGACCTGATTACGGCCTTTCAATACCTAAAGGGGGCCTATAGGAAAGATGGGGAAAATCTTTTTAGTAGGGCCAGCTGTGACAGGACGAGGGGTAATGGTTTTAAACTAAACCAGGGTAGGTTTAGACTAGGTGTAAGGAAGAAATTCTTTACAGTGAGGGTGGTGAAACACTGGAACGGGTTGCCCAGAGAGGTGGTGGAGGCCCCATCCCTGGAAACATTCAAGGCCAGGTTGGACGGGGCTCTGAGCAACCTGATCTGGTTAGCGGTGTCCCTGCTCCTGCAGGGGGGTTGGACTAGATGACCTCTAGGGGTCCCTTCCAACCCAAAACATTCTATGAGTCTGTGATTCTATGAAGTGCAAAGTGCTTCTGTTGCCATTGCTGGTAATCAACAGCCTTTACTTAATACTTTAAAAACAAACAAACAAAATTCCTTTAGTGGACTAAATTTTAAACAGTGATATTTGATTCACTAATGGATTGGAAAAACATTTGTAAAAAAAGAATAATTACAGGACTGGAGATGAAAAAAAATCCAAAACCTGTGTTTCAAGTTAACTTGTTCTCCAACAAGTTTACTTGAATAACACTGATAATGAATGGGAATGATTAGTTACACTTAATTACTAAGACCTACCTGCTGGGAAGTCATTCAGGATTTGAATTATGCTTGTTAACACCAACTGCAAGGCTGATGCAGTGTTTTTCAGAGGCAAATGCTCCACACTCTCGTTTTCATTTTTTTCCCCTCTCTCTGTCTTTCTGGAAAACTTTTCCTATCCTGTTATCCTATAAACCTGTTAGAAAAAAATTCCATAGGCTTGTATAACTGACACTTATTTACAAGGCTTAGAAGGTCTGGGACTCCTCCTGTAAAAGCATTTGGGAAGTACCATTGATCATAATTACAGTTTTGAATTCCATGTCCAGAGATATCCTGTGCAGGACATGTCCAGATGCATGTAGAAAACCTTAATCTTTGCAAACAATTCATGCTATAACAGAGATATTAATGCTGATTGCTGAATGCAAATTAAGAATTTAAGTGTGCAAATATGATTGTGCCTACATTCAAGCATGTCTTTTATGTCTCTGCACGTGTGTTTGGCTGAATCTGGCAGTGCTCCTGTGGGCTGCTGTCTCTAACTTGTACCACTTGGTGCCAATTCTTGCATGATTCACTGCAAGCATATTTTAGCTTGCACCACCTTTTTTCCAGTTGTGTACTTCACTACTGGCAGGGTTGGGGTTCGTTCTGCACTACGCAAGTCTCCCCCAGCACCTCTTGTGGCATGTTTTCAGACTGCTCTGCTTTGGCTGGCAGGTTCATTGCTGTTACAAGGTCTTTCAAGTTCTGGGTCCTTGTTTTGGACATTTGCTGATGTACATGTTCTCTCTCCCCCTCCCTCTGCCCGTCCGATCTCCCTCTTTTCCCCCTCCTCCCCTCCCTCTCCCTGACTCCCTTCTCTTCTCTTACTTTGCAGACTTGCATAGCCACCCATGAATCTAATGGGATTGATATTATAATTGCACTCATCTTGAATGACATAAACCCTCTTGGCAAATACTGCATGGACTTGGTGCTTCAGCTAAAGGTACAGTAAATGTAAATTTGTTTATTTAAATTTGAGTAATAATAGAAGACATACCTGTGCAAGAGCTCTAGGCAACCTGACATTTACTTAATCTTACCATAGCATAATATACTCAGCAGCCTTTGAAAACAAACGTTGCAAATGAATTCAGCTCAGCTTCTGAATCCATATCAGGCCCTCTGCCATGGTCCTTTTGACCCACTGTTGTGTTTGGGAGTATGCCCTTAGCTTTTTTTTAAAAAAATCCTATCAAACAGACATGATATAGCTAGCATGAAGAGTCTATGTTGTGGGCATAAAATCTCACAGGGTTGATAAACAGCAACACTGTACAGACCTGTAACAAGTCAGGCATTAGCTGTTTATACCGAACCCTTAAAAAATTACTGGAGAAGGAGATGTTGGAAAAAAAGAATAATATATCAGATGACCTGTAATGTCAAATAAAGTTGAAACCAAGGTTAAAGTAAATTGTATTTTATTTCCCTTCTCAGTGTCCTCTGAGGGGGAGGACAAAGTGTAGAGTGGGAGGGTGAAGAGTGGAGTGGGAGGGCTCGTAGGCTTGGTTTGTAGTCTCTGGAGAGCTGGACAGGCTCATAGATAAGCTTCTCTGGTCTGTGTGCCATTGCCTGCAGAGGGGACCTCTGCAGCTATGGTGTGTGCCAAGCAGGGTAGAACTTGTCCAGCAGGAGCCTTGGGTTATTGCCTTTTCTTGTCTTCCGAGTGAAGTATTTCCATTGCAGAAGGCCTATTTCCTCCCCAAAATCAGCAAATACTTTGTGGTAGCTGCATTGCATCATATTGGCAACATTATGGATGTCTAATAAAATAATTAATACAGCTATATATCATGTACAATGAAACATTGAAACAACAGTGCTTTACACATGATTTTAATAACTATAATTACATTTTTGAATGGCAGTGTAATTCAGGCCCCCCTCAAGCAAAACACTTAAGCAGATATTTAACTTTGAACATGCAGACAGTTCTTTTGAAGTCCAAATTTCAGTCCCTGTAAAGACCTAGCTGCAGTAACTCCAGTGTCATTTTGATTTGCCATTATCATGAAGCTGGCAAATGTTTGTAGAACATCTTTTCTGTGTAATAACCAAACATGGAGTTTAGTGGCATTGCTGCAAGGACCAGTTTGGCCCTGTTCATAGGAGGCTATATATGCCTTACTCTTACTTAAATAGCAATAATTGTGATGAACGTTACCAAGGGTTCAAACTGTGGAAATTATTCTGATTGTACAGAATCACAGAGTCATTTGGGTTAGAAGGGACATCTTGAGGTCATTGTGCCCCAAACCCCCTGCTACAGCAGGTTGCCCGGAACTGTGTCCAGTTAAGTATCTCCACAGACGGAGACTCCACAACCTGTCTGAGCAACCGATTGCAGTGTTTGATCACTCTAACAGTAAAGAAGTGTTTTCTTGTGTTTAGATGGAATTTCATGTGTGTTTTAATTTGTGTGCATTTTCTCTTGTCCTCTTACTGGGCACTACTGAGAGGAGTCTGGGTCCCTTTTCTTGATTCCCTCCCATCAGGTACACATTGATAAGATCATCCTCCTCCTTCAGGCTGAACATTCCCAGCTCTCAGCCACTCCTTATATGAAAAATGCTCCATTTCCTTAATCATCTTTGTGGCTTTTTGCTGGACTCATTCCAGTAAGTCCATATCTTTCTCATACTGGGAGCCCAGAACTGGGCACACTGCTGGGCCAGATGTGATGTCAAGAATTAGATCCCAATTAAGAAGTTACTGGTTTTTATTTCGAGTGGCAACACATCCAAACAACATAGCACTGAGTTTACCAGGTAATGTTTAACATTGACAATCTGTCACTGTTCACAGGCAACTCTGAAGTTGCAAATCCATAATTTTTGCAGTGAAAATACAGAATATAGGCCCAGTCACACATACAAACAAGCTCAGACTCTGTTTTCGGGGAACATTATATGTTGAACTCATACCCCCCAACCAAAGCAAAGGCAATGCAGAATTCTATTTTCCCATGTCATCTTAATTTAGCTTGTTTTGCACATAGTTTGTGATGTGGTATTTAATTACATCTTCATGGATTGTATTTTCCACTGGACTCCCAAATCACTTAGTGAGCAGGGTAGACAGTGTTCACTGAGTGCACAGATGGCCAATGTTCTGTTCTGCCTCTTGTTATTTTGAGTATGACCCCCTGGCCTTCCTTACTGACTAGTATTTAAGCCCTGGCACACAGTATGACCTCAATATCTGCCACTCTGCATAGTGTCAGGATGAAGAGATGTTTTCAGTCTAAGGGTAGAGAGAGTTTAATATGAGTGTCTTTTTGGCTTTTCTCATAGCACCTTACTCTGCAATATCTAGTTGCTTCACATATTAATTTATTTTTCCAAAATTCTTATGAGGAGATGAGATGGGAACCGAGAAATGAAAACCAAAAGTACTTTGGGCTGTCCTGTTTGTAGCACCTGGAAACTGATTTTTCATGGTACTAATGTGTTATGAAGAACTTTATACTGTACGTTCCAAGTAATGGACTTTTTTCCTCATTGATACCTGGGAATGGAAATCAGATCCTAGGGTCTCGGAGAAAGCAGAAAATGAAGAACAAGTAGTCAAATGAGCAAATGATCAGAGGAAAAAAATGGAGGGTGTGCTTGCCTGCTGTCATTCTAGGCTGTGGCGTGCCACTTGTGCTGAGTCAGCAGCAAGGAGGTGGCTGTTGATGACACAAAGTCCTACACACCCTTTACCCTTCCTCACTGCAGCAGTCTTCTCTCCATCCCCAGGGTCATCTGCACTGGGAAATGGCTTCAAAGTCCTCATCACCCATGAGTGGGTAGACCAGTGCCTTCCCCCACTATTTCCTCCCCTTCCTTCTCAAGCTACCTGGCAGCCTTTCTTGTCCCCTTCCCTCCTCCTCAGTTTGAGATCCTCCCAGTGCTACCACAACTGACTTGGTCACTGTTGTAAGGGAAACTGCAGCAGAACAAGAAGCATCCAGTTCTTCAGAGTAGCACCCTATTAGGAGTCTTAATCAAAATGCTGTTCTTCCCTTCCACCTGGTCTCATTCCCTGTGCACATTAAACTTCTGCAATGTAGGTTGCAAGGTAAAGAGTCTTGACTAGACCTTTCCAATGGATCATCTTGATTTGATTCTGGAGCAAAAGGAAAGGGGAGCTATGGAAATATTCAGATGGAGTCCTGTTCTCCTACAGCCAGTTCCAATCTGCTCTTTTCTTCTCATCTGTTGTTTTTGTCCTTATCTCATTCTTGTATTGGTAAGCCCAGGCTCCTCTCTTCTGGCTTCTCAACTCCCAGTCTCCTCTCCCAGAAGGTCCCCTGTCATGTATAAATCCTCATTCTGTTAATCTACCCATTCCTTCTGTGGCTGACTTCTCATCCTACAGTCTGCCAGTTGGAGATGTTCAAACCTCATCTTGACACAGCCCTGAGCAACCTGCTTTGAGGAGGGGGTGGGACTGCTGAAAGGTCAGTCCAGAGGAGAGCCTCAAAGATGTGATTTTGTGATCCAGCCTGCATGGTTTTGCGATTCTGTGCCCAGGAAGAAGAAGCTCTGTGGGCTTTTAGTGGTGAAAATAGCAAGTCGCTACAGTATAGTATTCAAATTGTAATTCAAAAAATGCTTAGGAGTTGGACAAGTTTGGCTGGGTTTCCCTGGGGACTAGAACTTGCATGATTGTGTTATCTTGGCGTCTAATGCTCCAGATTTTCAGCTCTGCTACCAAAACTTGGAGGAACAAAGGCTGCTTAAAACAGAAGTTGCTTGAACATGCAGAAAAGAATATATTTCTTTTTGCCTTGGTCCCAAAAGCAGCCAAGCCCTTTTCCTCCGAAACTGCCCATACTAACTGTCCGAGGCACACCCTCGCTGTGAGAAATCTCTGAATTCCTGACGTCTGGCAATCAGCAGCTGAGAACGAGGTTGTATGACAGTTCAGAGTTTTACTGGCCCCTGCCTGTATCACGGGAGTGCAGTCTACTTGCAAATATTCACACAGCTCGGTCTGTAATGGGGGGGTGATGAGGGGATGCTGTGGCAGGTGAACCAAGGCCACCACGCTCTGCCAGAGAGCAGTCAAATCTCCAAACCCATTCTTCCTCTCCTGTTCACAACAGCTCATCTAACTGGAAGTAAGATAGGTCTGAGAAGTTTAAGGCACTACTGGGTTACTGCTCCCAAAGCTCACGCTATTTAATCCTTGGGAGAGGTCTCGGTGAAAAGGAGGCAGTTCACAAAGTAAAGAATATCTGTGCGTTCCCCCAGGAATATTTGGTAGTGAAACAAAATTCCAGGAAAGTATGAAACCAGTTTATTTTATAGCCTTTCAAATAATAACCAGGACTTTATAAAAACCAAAGGGGAAGAAAACCTGCCTGAATGATGAAACCTTTCGTGTAATACATTTTGTAATTACCTCTGTTGAGTATTGTTTTAACAGAAAACCATGGCAAAAATTGCTAGGTGGGCAATAAGAAAAGGAAATGGGATTTTGTTTCCTGTGCACGGTATAGAACAAGGCTCTCTATTTAAGTTGAATATTTTTCTCCAATACAGTGTGCAGAGTTAGTTAGCCTTACAGGACGCTGGCATTAAAATGGGAGAAAAACCCTATTAAATATGTCAGTAAAATAAAAGATGCAAGTAGTTTAAAATCTTACCCGCTAAAAAAGTAGTCCTCGTAATCTCAATTAAAACAAATGCAAGGGTCATTAAGCCATGAAATAGATTTTTAAATTTACATTAACTTCGTTTTGTATCTCCAGAACAATGCCTCCAAGCTTTTGCTTGCTATTATGGAAAGCAGGCACGACAGTGAGAATGCGGAAAGGATCCTTTTCAACATGAGACCAAGAGAACTGGTGAGAAAACTTGTGAATATTCATAAATCTTTCGGCTGAAAAAAAATCTGTCATTAAAACATTTTTAAAATGATCTGCATCTAAGCTGAAAAGTGTTGGCAGCATATAGTGACACAATGTATCAGGATAGTACTAATTCACAAAAAGTATTTTAAAAGGATCAAGCATGCATGATTTCAGTCTTTACGACTTCATTATTTTTATCCGTTCCAAGCACTTTTCTGTAATTGTTTCCTAACTAAATTGTCATACCCTGGTAGACTGTCTGCAAGTACACTTTGTCAGGGGCTGGGAAATTAAGCTTGCACAGTTTGTGAAACAGTGCTAACAGAAGTGTGTAGACATACACTATATATGTTATGTGTATGTATGTTGTATGTTACATTTATATGTCTCATGAGCAAACAGACAGATCTACAAGCAGTTGTTGATGTATTTTGGAACAACCGTGATACTTGTGTAGATCTCCAGGAATTTTAAATAGATTTTAAGTCTGGAGAATTTGTTTCCAGTCCAGTTGACCATGTAACAGCAGTGACTGAAGAACCCGTTTTGCGGGGAGATCTGTGGGCATCAACCCCTTCCCTTGGGCAGAGCCCGGTGGCCTGCTGTATTTGGGGAGTCATCATGGTGGTGTGTCAACGTGATGAGGCCGTCCCTAGGGTGCAACTGCAGGACCAGGCCCTGTGTGGGGAATGTAGGATTTCCCCCGCATTGGTCCTGTGAGAGACTTTGGAATATTTTGGAATTACTCCAGCACCCTGCCCAGATGTGTATCTTCCTTTTCTTTTTGGTTTAGTGGGTTTTTTTCTCTTAAACTGTGTGGAGAACACTAAGTAGTGTTGCAGCCAGAGAGAGATCGTGGCTGCACTCTGAAGTGCCACAAGACTCTTCCTGTGGTATCTATAGATCTGTCTTCAAAAGCCTTTGTGAAAATACCTGTTCAGAAAGGCTCAGCATCCCTGTTCCTTTCTTGTGGTTGCAGAAGTTTTGCTGATGAGAAATGTAGCAGTTTGGAGCTTCATAAATGCTTCGGGCTTGTCTTTATTCAGAAAGTGTTTCTCAGGCTGCTCGCTCTTCTTGCAGGACTGCAAGGCACCCATCCAGGCTTGAGCTGAACAAAGCAAGCACGTTCAAACACAGCATTGGGTGCGTTTTCCCCAAGAATGGCAGTAATTTCATCTCTGCTTGGTTGTGTTTGTGTTACAGGTGGATGTGATGAAGAATGCGTATAACCAAGGCCTCGAATGTGACCACGAAGAGGAGAATGGAGATGATGGCATCTCCCCAAAAGATGTTGGCCATAATATCTATATTTTGGCACATCAGGTATGTCTTCTTTGTTGTGTGACTGCTTCCAGAAAAGCATTGCATTTTTAAACTCCACACAAAATCTGTCTGATCAAAAAGGGGAGTTTTCCCTTCTTGTGATTTCTGGCTCATGTTTATGCACAACATGACTTTATGCGGAAAGCTGCTGAGAGCAGGACAAGTAAGCAGTCTCACTGTACAAGCAGGCACTCTACAGGATTTGGTAGGCTCTATTGGTGTGAAATAACAATGTAGAACATAAAAATGTAGAGCAAAGCAGTTAATGTCCACTTAGATTCGTCTTCTTTTAATGTTAGCAGCTCATTTATATCAATCAAATCATAAATCATGACATTGTTATTGGTGTATTTTAAATAGTAGCTTCAGTTGTGATATCAAGTGAACTTGAACTGAGTAGATTCCTATTATTTTAGATGTATTAGTTAGCCATTAAGAATAATTGGACCTTTTTACTGTTTTCTCCTTTCAAACTACGTTGTAGTGCCCTCAAGCTTTTTCTGATCACTTTTGCTTCTCTACTGGTAAAGGTAGAATTTTATTTAATGGGATATTAATTCTTCAGAGCAGTTGCTATCAATACTAGTTTATCTTCCAATTAAGTTTAAGAGTATTGAAAAGATTTTTTAAATTAAAAAAGACCACTTATTTGTTCATTATATCATCAATGATAGCACTTGGTATTTCATATAAGGGCCAAATTTTTTAAAAAATGTTTTTACTAAGTAAGCAATAAACAGATGGGGATAGGGAGTGTTCTACATTCACTATGCTTATTAAGTGTTGTTAGGAATTGAATACTCAGTGGAAAAAGAAAACAAAGCGATCTGTAGTTACGCTAGTATTATGCAATGTTTCTTTCTAGCAAGGAATGCAAAACCAGTTGCTGAGTTATGCTCGCGTGCATGCAGCACATTTAAATAAGTAAGTCTTGTTGTTTTGTTGTTGTGGTGGTTGACCATGTTCTACTCTTGTACTGTATGTGGGGCTGTGCATAGGATACTCATCGAAGATGATAGAATTTTTAGAAAACATCTGTAGCTCCTTACCTTGTATGACTATTTACTCCTTGTTTGAATGCTTGTAATGAAAATTTAAATGCCTGCCAAATCGAAATGTTGGGTTTTTTATGTCTTCTGCTTACAGTTTGTGTTAAGTGACTTAACAGGGTTTATGACAATGGAAAATAGGTTTTGGGGAATAGAATGTAGGCCTAAAACTATACATGAAGTGACTGCTGGGGTCATTTTACAAAAGAGGTCACTAGCAAGAGTACAGTAGCTAGCTGAAGTGTAGATTAAGCTCTGTCCCTAGATAAATACTCAGGATGCTGGGGAGGTGCACAATGCCACTCCACAGCTATTCCAAATCCCCAGTCCATAGTTGGCATGATGGTTGCTGGATATTTTTACAGCAATTTACTGAGCTCCTTCCTGTTCTGTAGAATTAAATGGCATGATTGGCTCTGTGTGCTGTAAAAATATCCATCTTTTTAGAAAAAAAAAAGAAAGACCTGTTTCCTCTTCTTGCATTTCTGTGACACAGTACACGTGTCTGCTTACAATAGCTTTGCACCCATGTCAAGCCCCATATCCAAACAAAACAATGGAAGGGCAGGCAATCTGGGGCCTTTCTCTCTCCTCTGCTAATGAAAAGCTATGATTCTTGGCACAGGACTGCTGATCTTTGACCCCAGACTCTTTCCACGTGTGCCCTTTCGCTCACCCTGGGATGGGCAGGATACGAGCGTGGTCCCTCCTCAGTAAGGCCATTGTTGCCGGGTTCCTTTGCTGGCTCCGCTCTCCAAACACCCTCTGGTGCTTTGCTATGTCGAAGTGGCATTTTGGTGGCTGGGCCTTCCACTCAGCTTAGCTGACCTGATTTACATAATATTTCTTTGCTGTGCTCCTTACAGTTTCACAGCTCATCTGACTTAATTTTTTCTACAGCCAGTGTGGCTCTTCAGTCACTTTTCTGACACTTGCTTGTGACCACTTGCTCTAGTTACAGCTTTTCGGTCCCTCTGTAATAGCAGAATAAAGACCAAGAGTTCCTCTTTCTGCTGTTACAACCCTCAAACACAGACAGTTTATTTTGGGGACCTCAGACTTTCAGTTTTTGTCGTTGCACTCTTCAGGGCGATGGTGGGTTCTGCATTTTGCCACCACTACATCCTTCCTTGCCCTTCCTGTGGTTGATTTTACCAGAAGCAAAAGGCATTCTTGTAAATGTTTGACCCACAGTGCATAGAAAGTTATAAATATGTCACAAGCAAGGCTGAGATTTCTGTTACTAAATCTCCTTTACAGCCTCCTAACCCCTACCCCAAATGCATATGCAGGCACACGTATGCAAGTACATGTGCACACACGTACATCTCGCACATATGCACAGAGAGGTGTGCGGGCACAGCAGCCTAGGACATGACGGTAAGAGGCTGACTGTTAAATATGCCATGTCATGACAGCGATCACGTCTCTTCCACATGTTTCTCTGTCCTCTCTTTTCTTTCCTTTATTTCTTCATCTCCCTCCAGCCTGCCACGTGCCATAGCTGTGCTGTTTCCCCTGCGCTGACTCCAGGCTGTCTGGACACTGCTGCTCCTCACTTTTCCCATTTGACGTATTATGAGCCGAGAGGAGAAGGGAGCGCCACCGAGGGAAAGCAGAACTGACTTATCCACGAGGAACTACCCTGAGGTGCACCCCCACTCTGCAGCCTGGCTTTGGGGTGTGGGCTCCTTCCAGACATAGCTCTCCTACAGCTGCTTGTGGAGGAGTGACACGAACTGGTGCTTGAGGTCACATCCTGGAAAAATAAGCCTATTATTGCTAGATAGAGAGCATTCACAATTCTCTTGAAAATCCATGGAGAAGGTTCTGTTTTCTTTGTCTTGTTCAAATGTCATGCTCAGAGCCAAGCCTTGAACTTGACATTGCTAATTTCTTGCTGTAGTCTTGGGCGAATGCCAGTGGTATGTTATGGACAGTTCCATCAGCTCTTACCCCTCTTCTTTTCCAGCCTCAGTCAAAAGAAATTGGTGTGGTATTTTTATTGCTGCCCCTTTAAAGGATCCTGTTAAAGCAGGCTACACTTTGTTTCGTGAAGTTAGTGAGGCTGTCCACAGAGAGAGTTCGTCTTGATGTGATGTCTCTGTGGATGTTACAAAAACTTTTGACGTAGTAGCACAAAAAAGTTTAATACTTACCTCTTATGTGCAGAAGCATTAGTGTGGGAGAATCAACCTTTTAAATAGCTACCCCCCAAAAAAAAAGAAATCATAGAAGGCTAAAGAAATCCTCTGCCTTTTCAGGTGACTTGCTTGAGCTTGCTACCTGTTAGTTGTAACACAGTGTTTCAGTTGTCTGTAAACTAAAAAAAAGCTTCCTTGGAGTTAGTAGCTATTTCTGTGAGGTTCATGACCTCTTTACATTTACTGTGAAGTCAGATAAGGCACTGGTTAAAACCACAGGCTCCTATAGTTTGCATGCATGTATATATGCGCTTCTCTTAACAGAAAACACTTTGGAGTGTTTCTCTATGTTTTTCAGCTAGATGCAAACTGCATAAATCAGGCATGAAGCCCAAGGTAATACCCTCTACCTTTCAGCAGGGTCTTTATTCATGGGGCTCAGAAGAACATGAAATAACTACATAGCTTCTAGTCAGTTTGCAGCATGGGAAGAATGCACTTTCATCTGCCTGTAGAGCTGTGTAGCCATGTCCTTGAGCCAGAAGGATGTGAGTGCACAGGGAGCAGGGAAGCAAACTGTAGTACTGTAAGAAAATTTTCAAATTTTCAGGGCCTTGTGACTTCCTCCATCTGGTTCCCAAAGCTGTTGCAGGAGTAGAGACGTACTGACCTAGCACATCACCCCTTTCATGATGCATGTCCTGGGGCTCTCAGACAGGCAAAATGTTTACTCAAATGCTCAATTTTAAGCATGTGCTTCAGTGCCTTGCTGGAGAGGGGACATAGGTCTTTGAATTCCACAGTGTCTTTGTAACCTCCAAGTAAATAGAAGAGTTTGTTATGAGGTTAAGCTAAAAATTTATTTCAATCCCAATGGAGTACCAAACCTACTTATATTTATATGATTTCCTGGTTGCACCAAGGCTTAATGAAAAGTCATTGCCTCCACCCCATAAGGTTAGAAGAAATTAGCACTGCTTGATACCAATGCAGGTACACAGCATAAACGAACACAAGCTTGAACCAGGCTATCTTCTGATAGACTAACACAGTTGGAACTGTTCTTCCATTGATAAGTTCTTAAACCGAAGGAAAAGAGGCAGAATTTGCTGTGAATTGTAAGGTTCTTGCTGCAGGTACTACTGAGCATGCCGTAGCAATTGGACATCATGAGTAAGTCACACTCCTTCCTCTCCGGTGCTAATTTTAAATGAACTGATAAAATAAGTCATTCAGCCTTATATATTTGTTAATATATTAAGTATGTCAATAGCAGAATGAAGATTTATTTCTCCAACTTGGCAAGCTTTAGCAAACTAATGTCTTATTACCATGTTTACTTATGCCATATATTGCATATTAGTGTACACACATGAAGAATAGTTTCTAACTAGGCAACTAAGACAGTAATAATTGGTGGGATGGATTTAAAGTCTGGGAGTAGTGGTGCACTACAGGCTATTTTTTAAAAGTTACTGGTTTTGACATTTGAAAAAGGACTGGTTTGATAATAAGACTTGGATATGATACATTCATTAAGAAGAAACTCAAGTCAGTTTTAAAAAATTCAGCTATCCAAATATGTAAAATTCTAAGAAGCACAAAGCCTTTTGTTTCTGTGGGTTTCTGTTTAGGATGGCATTCTGTATCTTTCCTCAGGTTTGAGTACAGCAAGGGCTGGGGCCAGCTTTATTTTCCACATCAATGCTGTGACTAGAACCGCATGGTTCTGGGACTCGTATGTACTACAGCAGAACAAATAAATGACAACAATAATAGTCATTTCAGAAATATTTAAAGAAATAAT